CTTTAAAAAATCATTTCTACTTTTGTAACAACGCATTGTTAACTGCTCAGTGGCAGTTGTGGAAACCAGGAGTTACTTGAAGCTTAAGTTACTCAGCAGAAGAATGGCTAAAAGCCATCCGAATTCCTTACAAATTTAAAAAACATTTTTAAAACATTTAATGAGTATATGGTAAAGGTGTTTATTTTGGGGTGGCAATGAGGGAGGGATTGCATTTTTTTCTTCCCTCTGAAGGACTGAGAGAAGTTCAGACTCATTGGACCCTCCCTCAGCAGGGTGTGTGTCTGCCCAGTGACTTTGATGGATCTTTCCAGACCTAGGCCTTCTAGTCTTCTGGCAAAAATGTTTAAGATGCTTTCCATCCCTCCTGCTCTCTGTTTTTCTTCCCCATCTTCTCTTTCTCCTGTTGTGTTTGTCCACAGCCAACATTTTGTTTTGCTTTGTTTTTCCCCCTATTCAAGCAACTTAGAAAATGGCCCCGCTAATGCAGGGACCTGATGTACCAAGACCAAAGCATGTGGTGGTTTCCCTGCAGCCCCGGACTCTACCAAAGCCTCCTCTCCCCAGAAACAGCAAAGCTCTCTGCCTCCGCAGTCCTGGGCCGAACATTTATCCTGGTCTCTCTGGGAAGATGAGACCTAGAACCGTCCCTGCTGTCCCTGAGAAAGCGATGCGGTAGCATATCAACTGTGACTTGGAACTCAGACTAGTAGCAGCTCAGTGCTGGGAGGCGTTTCCCCGCTCTACCTGTGTCAACAGCCCCCAAAACTCTGCTTCTCTGGGCAGGTATCACGGTAGGATTGCTGCACCCAATAGAAGCTTGATAGCATCTTACTCTGTCCTCCAGGATGGACTGGCAGGGCCTCCTCGGTTGTCACTTACTGCGGTGCCTGCGTGTGGTTGACCATAGCCTCCCTGATAGCTTCAGCCCTCTGTGTGCGGGCGAGGGGGAGGAGGGGAGGGGACAACAGGGAATACCGACGTGGACAGAGGTGGAGACCCTGTAGGCCATCCTCAGCGCTAAGGAAGGGGCTTCGCCTGCCAAAGCCTAAGGCTACAACAGACTATGCATCACTTTTTTAGAAAATAAAATAATATTAAACAAAAGAAAGTAAAATAAAGCCCCCCACTCCTGGCGCTGGGCCTCCGGCGATGTTCCTTCAAGGGACTCTACTGACCTCAACACCTCCAGCCCCTGCTTGAAATCCGTGAAATTGAGGGAGCCGTTCTTATCTGATGAGGTGGTGTCGTTTGTCTGTTTCTCTGACCAAAAGAAAAAATCCC